AAAGCATGATAACGTTCGTGTTCCAAGAGCATACGGTTGGCGATGCGGCCATGCCCAAAGCATGATAACGTTCCTGTTCCCAGAGCATACGGTTGGCGATGCGGCCATGCCCAAAGCATGATAACGTTCGTGTTCCCAGAGCATACGGTTGCCATAGCATAACTACGACCGCGAGGTTCAGCGACAAAGTCGGCGCAGGACTCGCAAAGAAGCTCAGCCTGCACGACCTACAAAGTTCGGCCGTTGCTTGACGTGCAAGCACGCACTGCGACCCAAAGTTTGGCTCAGCGGTCGCAAAGCAGGACGAGCTTCTCTTCTCTGCGCTCGGTGGTGGACGCGGCTACCGGCGGGTCAGAGGGCCTGTTGGTTTTCAGTCCCTGCGAAGCCTGAAGACTTGCAGCTTTTCTCCAAGGGTTTGCAGGACCTCTACTACAGTCTCCGCATGAGGCTTCTCCGAGGGGGCCTCTGATGCGGCGGCTGCGCTCAAGAGAAGAGTGCCGAAGTAGCTAGAGCTCTTGTCTGGGGTTCGGAGTTCGTGCGCTGTGCCAGCGCAACTGGCGCATTTGACGCGCCGAGTCTCTGCGACGTTGACTGCATTCTCCAAACTGAGATTGCAGTAAAGGGGACGTGAAGGGGTTCGCACCGCAGCACGAAAAGAAGCTGACCATACTTGCGCCTGCTTCTGCAGCATGTTGGTGTCTTCTTGGCGTCTTCTCGCATGTTTTCTGCTTCATGCAGCAACGGACTACGCTGCGCCGGCTTTTTTAACCTCTCATGCGAAGGAACCTCGGGTGAGCCGCTGCTTGGCCGTCTGCCATGGTTTGCAGACTGTGCGGCAAGGTGGGGCACAGCGTGCGCACGTGCTCGCTGCCAGGAGCTGCCTCTCACAGAAAACTCTTGCAGAAGCTCAAGGTTTTCCAGAAGCAAGACGGCAGACGTCCCCCGCGTTTCGGTGGCCGCAGCAAGCCCGAGCACCAGGCCGCTGCCAAGGCAACCTACTCGGGCGCAAAGCGGGCGAAGGAGACGAAAAAGTTGAAGAACCTCAAGCGCCGCAAGACAGACACATTTCTGAAGTAACTATGTTGTGTCCGACTATTCTCCTTTTCTTTTCCTGCAAATACCTATAATTTCTGTTTCCACTTCCTTATCCCAGGATGGCATTTGCGGGGTCGGTCTGGAAGAGGCCGTGAAGAAGTTGCAGGACGCAGGCTACCTGAGCAATCCTTCCCGTTGCCCTTCCTGTGGCCGTGGCAACTTGACCGACCTCTTCCGGTACGGGAAGAACCAGGACTTGGTGGGACGGAAGTGCACGCAGTGGGACTGCCGTGTCAGGTTCAATGCGTTGAACTTCAGCCGGGCGCTGCCGGATCACCTGGGCCGAAGCTTCCGTGCGGACCAGCTCTATGCCGCCATCAAGATGTATACCGACTCCGGAGTCGCGAGGCAGGACCTGCAGGGGCTACACACGCATGGCGCTTCCTGCATTCCATGAACCCCAGCTTGCTTGCCAGAGGCCGCCCACGCCCGCAGAGGCTGGAAAGACTTTGGGCCTCTCCAGCAAAGGTCCACGTCGTCTCTTTGCTGCTCTCCTCGAGAAGGTGGGACGCATCAGCTGGGGTTTGCCTCTCCAGGGTTGCCCCTTGAGAATCTGCCCTGTCCGCTTCCGCGTTCATGTTACCTGAGGAAGCCGCGGCTGGAAAGCAACTCTCCCAGAGGTTGGTCTTGCGGAACGAGGCGCACATTCAGGCTTTAGGGTTTAGGCAACACGCTGTCACGTTTCCGCTTTAGGGTGCTCCCGCTTCCTCTCCGCATCCCCAGTAAAGCTTCCCAGGTAGAGCTTGACTGCACATCTGTGCGGACCCTTCGCATTGCACCGCGTAGCCACGCATACGCCGGCTACATCGAGAAATGGTTGGCCAAGCACCCAGGCGAACGTCGACCTCAACACTTCCTGCACTACGTGCGCGTGCTGGGCGCCACACAGAGGGGCACCAACAAGCTGGTCCTTCGCCTCTTGCCCGTCAAGCTGGTTGCACAGCAGGCAAAGCTGCATACTCTGGACTGGCTTCTTCCTATACTTCTTACTTGTTATTCATACGTCTTACTCTTGCGTACTTAGGTTTCCGAGTGTTTCCTACTTGCTACTTACTCTGCCGCGGTGCGCAGGCCAAGCCGCCTGTCGAGTCTGTGGATGAAGTCCTCGACTCTGGTATCTTTAACCGCATCGCCCAGGGAACCAAGTTGTACTCGGACGGAGCCTTTGCCTACCCCGCAGCAGTGAAGCGTCTCAGGCGGCAGAAGCACTTCAGCATCAGACAAGTCGCCCATGTTCGCTCCGAGTTCACCAAGAAAGTGGATCGTGGCAAGCGACTTGCAGGGACGCAGCTCTTGGATCGGTTCCTCAAGCTTTCATCCTGGCTCCGGTTTTTCGTTTTCCTCTTCCACCTTTCTTCACACAGTAGTCCCTCCTTCTAGCCTCACTGCCCCGTAGCTCCTGCTCTTTCATATAGTGGCCCCTTGCCTTAAGCATATTACTCTCACTCAATGCGAGGCTTTGGGATCACGCAAAGAGGTTCGTCATGCGCTCCGAGCATTCCCGCCAGAAGCGTGAGAATCGACTGGACAACCCTGAGCTCTTCAGCAAAATGCAGCAGTACGTCTTCAGGTACTTCAACCAAGGCAAAAACGCCTTCACCTGTACAGGCGACCTCTTCCGCTGACTCTGTCTGCGGACGGCCGAAAGTTTTGGAAAACAATCCTCTCCGCAATGCTGCTTTTCCCATAGCGAAACCACTCAAAACCTCCGAAATCACTGACCCTCTCACGCTTTTCGGCCCCTGCGAAAACTCCCTGAAACGCTCCGACTGTGGCAAAACCCCAGTTTCAAGCACATTTCCCTGAGAATGCTGCAAAACTGGCGTGCAAACCGTTAGGGGTCACTGGAGGCGCTCCTACCTTGTTTCTCATGCCGAAAAGTGCAATCTGATCCCTTGAGGCATCCTCGAGCAGTGTTGTAGTACGCACAGAGTGGTTTCACACCCTTCCCACCAGCAGCCTGATTAGCCGCTGGCAAATCATACTCTCCAACATCTCCATGTTTCGACCTTCCTCGCGATGCCGTTTGCTCTTCTGCACAAATTCGAGTGCACTCAGCCTCCAAGATCTGCAAGTATGAAGAAACGCCATCATGAGTAGGCACCTGGATATTGTGCTGGAGTCTCATAAGGCTCAGTCTTGTGCCCAGCAACGTGTACTTCTTTTCAAGCTGTTTACACAAGCCGTCGAGCGCTGCAATGGACTCATGCGGAGCCTGCTCCGGGACCTTCAAGTACTTCGCTCGCTGCTCAGCAAGCCGCCATCGTCGAAGAGT